GATAGTGAGGGGGTTACAATTCGATGGCTGCACGGATCCCGGATTCAATGGCGGCGCAGCCTTGCACACGTTTGAATACATACCAAGCCTATCTCAACATGGTGGCATGCTCTTTTTTCATCTAGGGGCAGTGTAACTTTCATGTTCTAGCCAAAGATCCATTCTCCATTTGCACATTTGGTGCGCAGTGGGGTGACGCCCTATGACGGCAGTGTATCTTTCCATGTTCTAGCAGAAGATTCATTCTCGATTTGCACATCGGGTGAGCAGTGGAGCAACACCCAATGATGGCAGTGTATCTTTCCATGTCCTAGGGGAAGAGATTCATTCTCAATCTGCACATTTGGTGAGCAGTGGAGCAACGCCCTATGCTATGATGGTGGCATGTCTTTCCATGTCCTGGCTGAAGTTTCGTTCTCAATTTGTGCATTTGGCGGTGTATCTTTCCATGTCCTTGCGAATGATTCATTCTCAATTGGCGCATTTGGCGAGCAGTGGAGCCACGCGCTATGTTCGTATACAAGTACTCAATTTGCACGTCGGGCGAGCAGTGAGCGACACCCTTTTTTTTTCACCCTATGTCGGAATACAAGTACTTGATCTGCACAATCAGGTGAGCAGCTATGTTCGTATACAAGTACTCAATTTGCACATCGGGCGAGCAGTGGAGCGACACCCTATGTCTGAATACAAGTACTTGATTTGCACAATCGGGCAAGCTGTGGTCCGAATACAAGTACTCAATTTGCACAATCGGGTGAGCAGTGGAGTGACACCCTATGGTCAAATACAAGTACACGATTTGCACATTGGGGGAGTGGAGTGACGCCCTATGTTTGAATACAAGTACATAGCAAGCATGCCTCGACGTGGCAGCAGGCTCTTTTCTCCCCTCCCTGGCCCCCCTTATGTGCGCCCTGCCATTTTTTTTGTTGCCCCGGTCCGGCGTCCGAGTACAAGCACAAAGTCGCCGCCGGAAGCTCATGCTCGACTACACCCCTGACGAGCAAGTGTCACGATCTCATTTTTCCTCGGGTCTCCATTGCATGACCTGCCCAGCATGCTATCCTCCAGCCCAAGTGATGGAGGACCGGGTGTGCGCCGCGGGCGTAGCCATTTGTTTCATGAAGAGCTGCAAACCATCAAGTCCAGCATACTGTTCATGGTTTACTCACACCGCACTTCCCACAGTTATGGCCAACGGAAAAGAGACGGCAACATCGATTGCTTCCAGTAGGGAAGAATTTAACTCTGCTTTGCCCGTGCTTTCGTAGCAAAGTTATTACCCTTAGGACCTCTTGGGGAAGGTCTGTGCCGCTTCTCTCATCCCAGTCAGGCTGCCTATGTTTGGAATATCCTCTAGAGTTTTTGCTATCAAAATACTTGAGCAAACCTGTCCATCTGGAGTAAGCTCGAAAACCTTACAACTTGGAAGTGTCATTCTCTCTCTTGGTGGCCAGCATGGTGTCGGTCGTTTCCAGAGTTCTGGTGCTATGGGAGGCATTCCCCGGATGTAAGCCCCTGTACCTCTTTTCTGCTAGGTGTGCATGCGTTCAGGAACTGGTGAACTAACCAATCTGGTCTGTACTGTTCTTGTGGGAAGCCCAATGCATTCATGTCCTCACAGGCTACACGCTTGACAAACTGATCTCACCTTCCTCATCATTGCTGCATATGGAACCACTTGGGCTTTGGGGTCTGTGAGCTTCCGGTGTCTCTGAGCTTGAAAAGTAAGGACCTTTCCTTTATATCTGTCACTTTGTCCTTGCCCAGGAAGTTGGTGAAGGCTTGCAGGGGCCTTCTCTGGGGGCTGGGTGACGACCTTGAGATATCATCTTGAAAATGACCGGCCCCAGGTAATTCATGAATGTCGTTCATCTGGATTCGAACACACGTCTGCATTTCAAAAGTTTGTGGGTGTACCAACTGAGCTAGGCCCCTCGGTGTCTGGGTGCTGTTCTGATCTGCCTCACGTTAGTTTCCATAGGACTGTAAGTTCCACTTTTACCTGTTGTGAGTATATCAGTGTTCATGCCTGGTGTGAACACAAGCGGTTATCGGGTAGCTGAAAATCAAGAATGAAAATTATGAAGTGAGAGTTTGGGGCAGTCTGAAAATCCTGAATGATCCTGAAGTGGTGAAAGGTCCGAAGACCCTGAAAACCACTTTTTAGGCAGGCTGCATCCTGAAGTGGTGAAGGATGTCCTGAAGTGGTCAAGTGAGAGTTTTGGGCAGTCTAAAAATCTTGAATGGTCCTGAAGTGGTGAAAGGTCCGAAGACCATGAAAACCACCCTTCACCACTTGAGGATGCAGCCTGCCTAAACAGGTGGTTTTCAGGGTGTTCGAAGCTTTCACCACTTTAGGACCATTCAGGATTTTCATACCTGAATGGTCCTGAAGTGGTGAAAGGTCCAAAGACCCTGAAAACCACCTGTTTAGGCAGGCTGGATCCTCAAGTGGTGAAGGGTGTCCTGAAGTGGTGATGAAAAATATGACTGTTGTTAACCTTCTCTCGGTGTGAAGACATTGGTCATTTGCCTATTGTTTCCTGGCATCTCTTGTTCCATACTATCCTTATCATCGAATTCTTCAGACGGAGAAGATGTTAGTCGTGAAACCCTGTCGATGCTTTGGGTACCTCTGACCTGCAATGAACCTCTTATATTGACACTCCAAGCGTATGCACCATGAGAGTTCACAAAATCTACACCGAAGTCCAGAGATGCGGAAATCAGATTAGCGCAGCTTAAAAACTTCAATGAATGATCACATTATATAAATTTAGAGTTCGAGTCTCACAGCGCTCACTCAGCGCAGTAGCAAACAGCTTCCAAATCAGGTATGTAACCCAGTTCAACTCTCATTCAGCTCTCTCTCTCTCTCTCTCTCTCTCTCTCTCTCTCTCTCTCTCTCTCTCTCTCTCTCTCTCTCTCTTAGTCGCTTCTCTCCCTCTCTGTTTCTCTCTCTCTCACACAGTGTCCAGTGTTTCTTCTCCCTATTCAGCGCTTAGCGCCCAGACTACAGTCACACAACTCCAATATAGTCCTATATCACTTAAAGGACTATAAAATCCAGTATTGAAACGGTTTCACCCAGTTGACCTGGTACTGCAGTCACAGAGATTCGACCCCTAGACCTGTGCCCTAACCATGTACATTGACCCTGTGTGCTGAGTGAGATTCGATCCCTAGACCTACCCTGTACCTCTACATAGACCCCGTGACCTGAGTAGGATTCGATCCCCAAACCTGTCCTACAGCTTAGGTTAGTCTGTAGTTTAGCCAGTAGGACTTGATCCCTAGGTCTGTAGATTAGCAGCTAGGTCTGTTACCAATAGGCCTAGAGAGTCTGTTCTAGAAGTCTCTACTGAGTCTGTCGAAAGTTTGTAGAGTCTGTAGGTTCTAGAAGTCTGTAGGGTTCTATAGGGTGGTCCAGTCAGCATGTACCTGGGTAAGGGCTGCACGTGGGGAAGGTTCT